AAAAAAAAAATCCGTCACTTATTGTTTTTCCCAGGTAATAATTAACAATTTCTTTTTCTAATAAAAACTTCCTCTTTCCACTTTTACTTGCTAAACAGCTGATGCTAAAAAACCCAACTTTTATTAGAAGCAGCAGCAATATGAAACTCACTTTAAACATACGAAATCATTCATTCAGCCATGATAAACCAAATATTATATCTAAATATTCCAAATCGGAGTCCTAACGCCATAGATGCACATACAAACACACACACGCATAATTAAAGCCATAATAATTTCCAATTCACAGAAGCTCGAATCTCATGCAAAAATTTAATTCCCAGGACCTACTTCAAGATCATACCATACTCTACTGAATTATCAGTTAAACAATCCAATTGCAAACAAAACATTTAGAGATAACTTATTCTTTATTCCGTTTCTGAAATTAACCCAGAGAAGGAAATCAGTGGAAAGAGAGCAGAGCGAGGATTAATCCATTTCCTGGAGTCCCAAAAAAAACTGGGTATTCTAGCTTCTCTGGAAACATCCCTTAACCCAGAAAAAAGTCCCACATCGGTTTTAGTAGCTTGAGATGAAAAAGGGGGTGAATAGAAAAGGGAGAAATTGGGTTGTGGGGACTATAAAGAGAAAGATTGCACGTGGGAAGAGATGACTTACCCGGAAAAGAAGAAGAATCTCGAAATTGGAGAAGAGAGAGTTGAGTTGAGTAAAGAAGTGTTTATTTGTTGCAGAGCAGAAGAAAACGTTGTTGTTGATGTTGTGGGTTTGGGTGGAAGGAAGCAATGCAATGGGAGTGAGTCCAATGTAACATCCTTATTTAATTGACCCAAAAAACAAGGCAAAAGGTAACAAAAGTCCACTCTCTCTCTCTCTGCTGTTATTAATTTTAAAGTGACACGCTGACATACACACACATAGAATATGCTTTTCTGTGCTTTCATTTCATTTGTCAAGTCTTCAATCGACGGTTCTTGTTCTCCTTCTCTCTCCCAAACCGCACCACAACACTCTCTTCTGGGCTACATTCACCAATTGGGCCTGTTTTATTAAATGCACCACCTTTTCTTTTATTTTAGAAAAGTTAGATTGTTTTAATTCTTTCGATTTGGATAAGAAATTTGGATGTATTTTATTGATTTTTAAATTTAAAAAATAATATATACAATTATTTTCACTCAATAATGTTAAATATTTTTAATATATTTAATGTATTTTTCTATTGACATTAAAATATGTTAAATCATATAAATACTTTAAATATTAATATGAAATAGAGAACATATAAAAAAATTTGATAAATTAAATTAAAAAGATTATATCTATTAATTTTTAAAATTTGTTTCAAAATTTAGACATCGTTAAAGTTTTAAATAAATAAATTTTAATTTTATATCAAAGTTTAAGAGTTAAAAATATATTTAAATTTATTTTAAGGTATTCTTATTTTTTCTATTTTGTTTTATGTTTAGTTTCATAATGTTAACAAGATGAAATATATTTTGAAAAGGTATATTTCAAAATGTGAAAAGAAATAAAAGTGTTTAAAGAAGTATTACTTTCTTGAAAAATATTTTCTGAAACATTGTTTTATCTTCGGAAAACTATTCTCTAAAATGTTAAGTAAATAAAAACGTGTTCTGGAAATTAAAAACAATGTATTCTGAAACCTAAGGATTTTCTATATGATGTACTTTCTAAATAATTTTTTTAAAATTTTCGTGGATTAAGTGTATATTTTATTTTCTTTACATATAAAAAATTATTTTATAAAATGTGACGATAAAAAGAATATTTAAAAAAATGAATGCTTCAAAAATTACCTCCTTATATACATAGCTCTTTTTACATTGAAAAATGTACTTTTGATAAACTATTTTATGTTCTTAGCATTTGGAAAAGGACTTTTCAGAACATATCTTATATTTTTAACATCTCATAAAAGAACTTTCTAAACAGATGAAACAAGAAACGAAATATAAGAATAATTATGTCATGTGAAAGAATTAAAATAGGGTGCATTTAGAGAAAAAGTGTAAATAGTAAGAGTCTAAAACACTTTTAAGACTCTCTTTTTTCATTACTACTAATTGTATCTTAAAATAAAGAAAAAGACTAAAATATCCTTCTCACTACCTTATGTCACTATTTATGCTGGTTGGATCTACATTCTCCACTACAATATTTGCGAAAGAGAGTTCATTAAAAAAAAAAACTCATCTCAAAAATTATTATTTATGTTCTAAAAAAAATTGTTTTGAAAATTTAATTCAACAATATTTTTTTGGAATACAATTCATATATTTCATATATTCTTAAAAACTCGTTTTAAAATGTATAATATATAAGTTTGATCTGAAAATTTTATTTTGAAAAAATCATTCCATAATACATTTTATTGTTCATGAAAACTTATTTTAAAAATGATGTTCTAGAAATTTTGTTCTGAAATATTGTTTCATAAATTTCAGAAAGATTATTCGAAAATGGAATTGAAAAATCATGAGAGAGTGCAATTAGAAATTACGGGAGTACAAGAAGAAAAACTCTACTGTTTATGGTTTTTGTTAACTCTTTTTTGTTTTTAGTCATTCCTGTGTAATCTTTTATCTAAAATTTTATATAATTATATTTCCTTTTTTTTTGTAGTTGATATTTTCTTGTAAAGAATTTTTTTAATAATTTTCATATTATAAGTTTAAATTTTATTCATAAAATTGGGATAATTTTATTAAGTATCCTTCCCCATTAATTATCCGTACTAATTATAGAAGTTAGATAATAATGTTTGATTATGTTAGTTTCATTTTTAAAATAAAAATTTATGAAGTTACTCCTTCTTTAATTCTGGTAACAACAATAAAAGAGTTATTGGAAATATTAAAACTCTAATTAATTAATAACAGTTTTTATTGTGTTCAGAGTAGGAGAAAACGTTATATAATCACATTCTATTCCATGTCAAAATCTTATTCAAATTTCTGTTAGTAATATTTAAATATCTTCTATTTATATTAAGAATATTTACCAATAACAAAATCTTTTATCTACTGAAATCATTCGCAATGTTTTTAAAATGAAATTAAAAATAATTTATATGGCAATTTATACTTTTATTGTACAAAAAACTTACACAACCTAGATTTAATTGTACTTTATACTATTTAACTTTGATATTTATGATAATTCTGTTAGTGAATTTTTTTTTATTATTGTACCATAAAGTTTAATAAATTAATTGCATGTTGGCAAATAATTTAGATAACAAAAGATAATATATTTATATTACGATAAATATAAATTTGGATATTAAAATCAATTTAAATATATTTATGAAAAAGATTAAAACCAAGATTTTTGTTTTGAAGATTGAAAAGATAAATATTGATTGATGTGTTCATAAAACGAAAAACACGGTTTGGGAAATTTGTTTCAAGTTCCCGTATTGCTTCGTCTCTGTGTTGAACCAGAAAATCATCTTCTACCCAATACCGTCAAATCCTAACCCTAAAAGCTTCAACTTTTGAACTTGCAATCCCAAATTCCTTCAATCAATCGCTCTACTTTACCCTCAGCAAAATGCTTCAATCCCCAGGACACTCGCCGCTCCACTTGTCGTCGCCTTCTCCTTCGATTTCGCAGGTGTCGGTGCAAAACCCTAATGATCCAACATCGTTGTCGTCGTCGAGTGCGAAGAACTCTTGGGTTCTGGACGAGGACACTTACGTGGAGGCGTTGGAGAAGATCATCGAGCGCGACTACTTCCCCGACATCTCGAAGCTCCGCGACCGCCTCGACTGGCTCGAAGCCATAAAAACCGGCGACCCCGTCGTCATTCGCGAGGCTCAATTGAAGATCCTCGAGCGCCGCGCTGGCGCATCAAAGGTAACCAATCCCAACGATACTTCTAGAACCGCCTCCCACACCCCCGGTTCCACCTTCGTTAGAAATTTCACACCTTTGGATGAATTTGACGGAAAGCCCCCACAAACGCCTGGTTTAATCCCGGAGGTTAAAGAGGGGGAGAATAATGACGGTGGAGTTGATACTTCGCTTGGTCTCGATCAATTTCTTAGGAGGTATACCAGTGAGGACAATCATAGCTTTTCCAAGATTTTAGAGAAAGTGAATAGGAAGAGGAAAGACAAGTTTGGGTATTTGAACGAGGATGTGAAGGGAATTGAGGATGTGAAGAGGGATAGAATTACCGATGGATATGGAACTTCTTATCAGCCTCCGAGTACCCTTGAAGGGTGGAATTACACTGCCAAGAATTTGTTGATGTATCATCCCGCTGATCGTGGTGAGGTTCCCCTGACTGAGGAGGAGATGGCTGTTAGAATTAAAGCTGCCACTAAAGAGATCAATCGTGGGAACACTAGGTTTCATGGTAAAATGATGGATTCTAGTCCGAAAGATGATGGTACTGTGGAGGTGCTTTATACGCCTGTTGCCGGTGCTACACCGGCCCCTATGTCTCTCAGAGATGGGGATAGGTTGCAGAAGTATGATTTGGAGGATTTGAGGAAGACTCCGAATCCATTTTATTTGGAATCTGAGAAAAAAGCTGATAATGGTTATAGCTATGTTAAGACACCATCCCCTGCACCTGGTGTAGATGAATCCCCCTTTATCACTTGGGGAGAAATTGAGGGGACTCCATTGAGGTTGGACCAGGAGGATACACCGCTTGATATTGGTGGTAGTGCTGATGGACCTCATTACAAGATTCCTTCTGCACCGGTGCGAGATGCTAAGGCACACGCTCTTTCCAGGGAGGCTGCACGGAAGCTCAGGGAAAGGTCAAAGATGTTTCTTAAGCCCCCATTGGCATCACGGGTTAGAGGCGGGAGTGCTAGCCCAAGCATGCGTATGCTGTCTCCTGCTGCACAGAAGTTTGTAAGGAATGCATTTGCCAAGTCCTCGTCCTCTGTTGATGAAACGCTTCGAGCAAGTTACCGTGGTTCTACTCCTGCTTTGTCTACTCCTAGAACTGTTGGTAGAAGTGTGTCAAGGGTTGTTAGAGATGGGAGCACGGTTTCCATGTCTCCATCTGTTAGAGAAGACTCCAATCCTCCCCCTTGATAATGTGTTTAAATTGTACTCTTGTATACATTTGGAGAGAAAGAACAATCTGAGAATAATCTAGACGTTGCATACTGAATTTTGTAACCTCGGCTTGATTGTTTATTCTTTTAGTAGCCTTACTCTTCGATTACTGGTTTTCTATGTGCAAAATCTTCTTTGTAAAAGTTCTTCAGAAGGCATCGCGTATATTGGATTAACTACGAAGTTACTATTGACCTTTTTGTTTATTTGATTGGTTTCGTTCTTTTTGAATAATTTCTTCACGTTCTTTGATTAAAGTAGGTTTTTTCTGGTTTCACCATGCATCTGTGTAGTTGCCAGTCATGTAGCCAAATCTCACATGGAACTGATGAACTGATGTAAATGGCACTTTGATAAGTATTTTTATGGTATGACCCTTTAGAGTAATAATCAGATGATGGTTATTATCGTACGAGACTTGAGCTTGCGTTTTGATGAATGTGCAATGATAAAAATCTCTTTTCAGTTCTTCAATTTCATTTACTTTCTAAATAAACAAAAACAACCAATCGCAACAAAGAAAGCCATGGGAGCCATTGACTGTGAGAGGCCTGGGTGTGTTCCATTTATCAAATGACCATTGATAAAGTCAGTTGCTTGTTCATCCATCTTTTCAGTAGTTTGTTCGTCACTTACTAAGTTGATAAATCTGTCAAAAAATTACATTGATGAGCATTTTTGTCAATTGATCCTTAATAAACCGTACGGATGAACCAATGGTATTTTGCCAGCAGATTATATAAATGTATAACGAAAAAAAAAGTGATGGTTATTGTACTTTGAGGGTGCGTAGACTTTCAAAAAGTATTAACACACCTCAAGAAACTTCCAAGACTATAACTTTGCTATATAGAAAGAACAAGAAATCAATGGATCTAAACATTTCAGATCAACGTTGATTCAACTTTTAAGCTAATTGACCCCATTTTTTTTCATACACTTTGCAGACGGCGAGTGGTATTTGAAAACAGATAATTTGGAAGAATCGTGAGGTAATGATGTTTGGAAAGAGATTGGAAGAAAGAGATAATGAAGTAGTGTTGGTAATTTGTAGGTGCAATTGAGCACGGGCTTCGTCTGAAACTTTAGCTGTGAGTGCAGTGTTCCCCATTCTTCTCGTGAATGTAAGAAAACACCTTCAGAATTCAGATGCAGTGATTCTCTTGATCACGATTTTGTGTCATGGAAAGGGGATTGTGTTTGTGAACCTCTACATTTGCCACCTCATACATTCATTTCCACTTCTAACAAATTCCACCACAATCGTCTCTCGGCTATTTAATCTCTACACTTCCATTTTCAGGGTTTCAATTTGAGGTCCCACATTCTCAATTCTCCTACCGCTACCTGTTAAGGTAACCTTTCCAATTTGCGCTTAAAATCACTATTCTACTTTAATTTTCATGCATTGCAGTAACAGAAATTGTACAATCCAAGAAATATAGAATATATGTAAGGTAGCTGATGTAATGAAGTAGGGTTGTTAAAAATTATTGAAGCTAATGGTGTAATGATTCACTTTCGTGATTAATTTTCAATTTGTTTAGTTTAGTGTAGGAGAGAGATTGAAAATGCCTGCAGAGAAGTCGAACAGTTGCGACACCGAAGTGGAGGCGTTCGTGGAGATTGATCCGACGGGAAGGTTCGGGCGTTACAACGATCTTCTCGGTTGTGGTGCTGTGAAGAAGGTTTACAGAGCTTTTGATCAAGAGGAAGGAATTGAGGTGGCGTGGAATCAGGTTCGGCTCAGGAATTTCAGCGAAGACCCTGTTCTCATCAATCGCCTTCATTCTGAGGTTGAGTTGCTCAGAACCCTCAGCAACAAGTACATCATCGTCTGTTACAGTGTGTGGAAGGATGAGGAACGCCACAACATCAATTTCATCACCGAGATTTGCACTTCCGGGAACCTCAGGGATTACCGCAAGAAGCACCGCCATGTCTCCATTAAGGCTTTCAAGAAGTGGTCCAAACAGGTCCTTGAAGGGTTGGAGTATCTTCATACTCATGATCCATGCATCATTCACAGGGATCTCAATTGCAGCAACATCTTCGTTAACGGCAACATTGGCCAGGTTACTTGCTTTTGCTTATTATTCTTTCTCATGCTATTGAAATCATATCAAGAAATGAAACACAGTCATGCCAAACTTAAATGCAGTTCATTTCTTTTCACAGGTTAGATGAAAATTCGGTTTAACTTATGTGCATGTTTGGTTTCCCGGCTTAGATATTGTAAATTTAAGATGCATTCTACTTTCCAAAGGTGATCGAACAAAGTTAACCATACATATATGGTTAACAAAAGGAGAACAGAAAAAGAAAATGCAAATTAATTCCTCAACTGGTTTTGTTATCTAACTTTAGAATACTTGTTGAGAATCAATTTTTTATAATTTAGTAGACTCTTGATGCGAAATTGATTACTAGAAAGTAACTTTTGAAACTACAACGTGAGCATAAAAGTGAAAAGATCCTTGGTTTTTCATCTTTTTGTAGGTGAAAATTGGTGATCTTGGATTGGCTGCAATAGTGGGACGGAACCATGCTGCACATTCTATTTTAGGAACACCTGAATACATGGCACCGGAGCTGTATGAGGAAGATTACACTGAGATGGTGGACATATACTCTTTTGGAATGTGTTTGCTTGAAATGGTTACAATGGAGATACCCTACAGCGAATGTGACAGTGTGGCGAAGATCTACAAAAAGGTCACTAAGGGAATTAAGCCTCAGGCTTTGAGCAAAGTCACAGAACCAGAGGTGAAGGAATTCATTGACAAGTGCATAGCACAGCCAAGGGCAAGACCTTCTGCCACAGATCTCCTTAAGGATCCTTTCTTTTATGAACTCAACAATGATGAAGAATCGACGCCATTAAATTGATATTGTCTGACCCTTCTGTCCAATTCAACAACTTTTCACTTCCAATCAAAGTATGTTCGTATTACATACTGATAGTTGGTCAGTAGATGCATTTCCTTTCCAGTTTCACTGTATCTGTATTGTACAGACTGAAAGTGCCAATCAACCCAGTTGCAGCTTTTTCAGTGGATTCCCTTGTTTGTTTCTGCCATGTTCTGTTTTATTTGCTTCAACACTGATATCGTTAGAAGGGTGTCATAAAATGGGTCGTCAAGCTCATTTGGATCATAAGCAGACAATTATCAACTATTGTTAGATTTGAATTTCATATTGAAAATTGAAAATTCATCCTAATATAATATTATATGTTTATAGTTAATCATAACAATTTTATTGTATGGTATGTATAATATATTTATACTTATAAATATATAATAATTTGTGCCGTAGTGGTAAGGTTATGTAATTTTTTTTATTTATATACAAGAAATTAAAATGATGAATGTGATAATAACTCTGATAAATTATAATAAGTCTCTTTATCTGATAACTTTTGAAGGTTGAAAATTTTAATCAACAACTTGTGAAATAAAAATCTAATCTAATTTAAATCACAAAAATATTAGTTTTTTGTTTTAAATTAAAACTCAATCAAATCAATTGGTATTTTCCTTTTATATTTAATTTGATTGAAAATAGAATCAGAAGAATCTGATATACCCTTCTGCTAACAGATCTTCTTCTGTGTTAAAATAAAGTGCATAAAACTATTTAAGGGTGACAAATAGGATCATTGGTCTAATCTGATTTAGGCAGTTTGTACCTCCTGCATCCCTTATAAAAGAAATCTTTTCTTTTTAGGTGTTATAATTGGAAAACTAAAAATAATTTTTAAATTTTGTAATCTGAAAATAGAAAATGACAAAAAGAAATAGTTTTCTAATTATATAATTTGAAAGTTATTTTTTATTTTTAAATTATGTAATCTAAACTTGTCATACGAAAAAAGACAGTTTCTAAATTATATAATTTGGAAATTGTTTTTTGACTTCTGAATTCTAAAACTTAAATATTATTTTTTATTTTTAAAAATGACTTTCAGATTGTATATAATAAAGAAAAGGCAAAAGTGGAATTATCTTTATATAGGATTGTAGGAGAGAATTTTGTGGAGGTGTAGGAAAAAACCATCTCTAATAGACCGTTGGTCCATTGAGAAAAAGAGGATAAAACCTTAGCCCATCCTAGTAGAGGTTAGCTCGTTAGATTTATATATATATATATATAT